CTCAGCTTGGTAAACATTTACCAAAAGCACCTACAAATATCATACTTAATGGTAAAAGACTGAATGCCTTGCCCCTATGATCAGGAACAAGGCAACAATGTCCACTCTCACTACCCCTATTCAACATTGTAACTGGGGGTCCTAGCATGTGCAATAAGACAAGAAAAGCCATACAGCCTGGATTGCCTACATAGAAAAATCACAAAGAATCCACAAAAAGCTACTGGAACTAATAAGGGAGGTTATGTGATCAATATACAAAAATCAAATGTATTTCTGTATGCTAGCAGTGAACAATCAGAGGTAAAATAAAAAATTGAATACCGTAACATTTAAAAATTACTTAGGGGTATGATAAAAACTATGCAAGACATGTATCCTGAAAATTATCAAAGCTTGGTGAGAGAAATTAAAGCCTGAGAAAATAGAGAAATGTGTTCATGACATTGAATGAAAATGATACCTTATTTTCCAATTCATGGAAAATAAAACAGCAGTTTTCTCCCAATTTCAAACCAATTTCAGTCAAAATCCAGATTTATATAAAAAACTGATTCTAAAATTTGTAATTTACAAGGCAAAGGAACTCAAATAGCTAAAATAACTCAAAGTTGGAGGATTCACACTAATTACGAAGCTACACAAAATATCTGTATTATAATACCACAGTAATCAAGACAGTAGTGTTGGTGGAAGTATAGACACAGAGATCAACAGAACAGAACAGAGTCCAGAAACAGACAACATGTATATGGTAAACTGATTTTCAACAAAGGTGCAAAGGCAATTTGATAAAGGATAGCCTTTTCAACAGATGGTGCTGGAACAATTGGATATGCATTTAACAAAATAATAGTGAATTTGTTCCCATGCCCTGCACCATATACAATAACTAAAAATGAACCACAGACATAAATGTAAAATCTCAAACTACAAAACCTCTAGAAGAAAACAGAAAATCTTGGTGAACATGTTTTATGGGAAAATTTTATATACAACATCAAAAGTGCAATCCACAAAATACTGTTAAAATAGATTTTATCAAAACGAGTAATTTCTGCTCTTTGAGACACTGTTAAGAGAATTAAAAAACCAGCCATGGACTATTAGAAAATCTGTACACATTCCATATCTGATGAAGCATTTGTAATTCAGTAGGAAAACCACCAAATGTAAAAGTGAGCAAAAGATTTGAACATGCTTTACCCATTACATGCCTGTTAGAATGGCTAAAATCTAAAAAGTGACAAATCCTAAGTTCTGGAAACAATGTGGAGCAATTTTACATATTGCTGGTGTGAACGTAAAATGGCATCACCACTGTGGAAAGTTGTTTCTTAAACATGCCATTATCGTACAACCAGCAATCTCATTCCTTGGTATTTACATAAATGAAACGGAAGCTTATGTTTACACAAAATCATGTACATGACTGTTTATAATGACGTTCTTCCTAATTGCCAAAAAGGGGGAAACAACCCAAACGTCCTTCAGCTGGTGAATGCATATAAATAAGCCTGTGGTGCATCCAGACAATCGACTGCTACTTTGCAATAAAAAGGAACTGATACATTCAACGTAGACAAATCTCAAATGCATCAATGCTTAAGTGAAAGACACTGGATTCAGTAGGCTACTTATGATTCCATTTCTGTGACAATTGGGAAAAGGCAAAACCATTGGACAAGAACATCAGTGGTGGCTTGGGATAGGCGGACAAGGGAGTATGGGGGAATTTTTCAGAGGAAAAGAACAGTTTTATACGACTAGGTATTTCTAGCACAGAATCAGGAGTCTGTGCAGTAAAATGAGTGATTATTAGACTGTTGGTTGGAGAAAGATTTGTCATCTTCACTTAACAGGTGATAGCTGAAACTTAGGGGGAGAATATTACAAAGCAAGAAGTAGCTTATGTCTAGAACCAACCTATAATGTAGTAACATTTATACTATGAGAAAATAATTATCAACTACTGTACAAGATCAGTTAAGATGAAGACTGATCATTAGTGATACTTGACAGAGCAGTGTCAGTGCATTGGTGTGACTTGTTGAAAAATAAATTATAGTAGCATTGCTTATACACAATTAACAATGTATACAGTAAACAGTGTAAGAAATATTCAAGCAAATGGCAGACTGCAGAGATAGCAAATGCAGACCAGACTGTTAGGAAGGCAGAAAAGGGGCTAGAAGAGAAAGAGTTGAAGGAAAGCTTTCTTCAGATACTTAAGATTTTGTGGCCAGGTGCAGTGGCTCATGCCTGTTACCCCAGCACATTAGGAGGCCAGAGCAAGAGGACTGCTTGAGCCCAAGAATTCAAGACCAGCTTGGGCAACATAGTGCAACCCCATTTCTATTGTTAATTTTTTTAAAAAAATGAAAAACACTTGTGAAGGTACATCTGTTGATAATAAAGAACACTGACTTTCATTAAAACCCCAAAACGTTTATGACTTTAAAGAATAAAAATAACAAGTGTCATGGTAAAATATGTCTGGGATTTGTTTTAAAATAGTCTGAGGAATGGAAGTGAATGGAAGTATAAATCAAACATGCTGAAGTAGAGGAATAGGTAGGTATGTGAGGATGCATTATGCTGCTTCTCTACTTTTGTATGTTTACAATTTCCTGTAATATATGTCTGTGAATTTGCTTAGTATGCTTTCTGTAAGCAAACATGGATGAAGCAGCACATGAAAAAGAATTTTAACCAACAAACTACCCGAAAATAATGTGACAGATGACTTTTAGAGGCTTTGGAGAAACTGAATGGTAAAGGCACTGTACAGCCAGTCTTTCTGGCATTCTGGCAGTGTCTTTCTCAACTGCAGCTCCTCATCTGAGCCACTATCCAGAAAATAATTGAGTAACTTTCCTCAATTGTCCCAAGGATAATATATAGTTAACTAGTATCATTCTAGATTTTACTAATTTATTACCTACAATGAATACCTTAGGGAATTAAGGCCTACTTTTCTAGTGAAATCCCAGTTGAGAATGGCTGCTAAAAACTAACATTAGACTGAAAAAAAAGAGTATTGTATAAAATTGTACTTTAAAAAAGAGAAAAAGATGTGTCTGTCTAAGTGACTATCGGATAGCAACGTAATGCTCCATAATTGTAAAAAAATCACAAATTTGTGAACTCACAAATTATAGAAAGGTATAGGTCAAAAGTACCTGTGGAAGAGCTTGTTAAAAATAGAACTACTCAGCCCCTTCTCAAATAGCCATCAGCCTCAGCCAGCTGAAAAGGAAAGTTGGCAGGTTATGTAACTTAGTGTTTGTTTTCTCTGTAGATGTGTTCAAACTCTTCCAGATAAATTGCTTAACTCATTTAAGATTCTTTGACTTAATACTGGGCTGTGTGCATTTGCATTTTAAAATTTTTATATCTTTTTCCCACCATAGAGACTGAGAGAAATTAATAGTATGATACGCACAGGAGAAACTCCAACTAAAAAGAGAGGAATTCTTTTGGAAGATGGAAGTGAATCACCTGCAAAAAGAATTTGCCCAGAAAATCATTCTGCCTTATTACGCCGTCTCCAAGATGTAGCTAATGACCGTGGTTCCCACTGAGGTTAGTCTCTTGTATTGAAACTCTTTTCACAACATGTTTAGCCGCATCCTTTAATGCATCTAGATTATGGAGCTTTTTCCCTTAATCCAGCTGATCAGTTACAGCCTGTTAGTAACATGAGGGGATATTTTGGTGAGAAATGGGACTTAACTCCTTCCAGTATCCTTAGAACATTTTAATTCATCCCAACTGTCTTCTTTTCCCTACCATTCAGTGATTACTGTCAAGGCTGCTTAGAATCCAAACTTGGATTTTTGACTCTGACAAAGCTTTTAAAAGTACTACAAGAAAATGATGTGTACCCAAATGTGAGCATACGAGGCTTCTGTTGACATACTCCAACAGAAGAACTGTTTCAAGTTCACTCCTACCTGTTTTGTGGTCAGCTGTAGTCCTCATAAAAAGCAAAACAAAAATTAGGTATTTTGTCCTAAAACACCTGGTAGGAGTGTGTGATTTTTACATTCCTGAAACAGAACAAAGGAGAGCACACCCAGGTTTGGAGGTCCTAGGTCATTAGCCCTCGTCTCCCATTCCCTTTGTGCACGTCTTCCCCCTCCCCATTCGGTGTGGTGCAGTGTGAAAAGTCCTTGATTGTTCGGGTGTGCAATGTCTGAGTGAACCTGTATAAGTGGTGGCACTTTAGGGCTGTAAAATGCATGATTTTGTAACCCAGATTTTGCTGTATATTTGTGATAGCACTTTCTACAATGTGAACTTTATTAAGTACAAAACTTCCAGGCTAAACATCCAATATTTTCTTTAATGCTTTTGTACTTTTTTAAACTGTTAAAGCCCCTATAGTCACCTTTTGGGAATATGTTTTAACTTCTCCAGTTTTTTGTTATATAGGGATCAATCGGCTAAGAAAAGATTTTAAATCAAGTTGAATTGAGGGGATTAATATGAAAAATTATGACCTCTTCCTTTAGGAGAGTTATCTAAAAGAAATGTCTATTAAGGTGATATATTTTAAAATATTTTTGGGTGTTCCTGGCAGTTTAAAAAATTGGTTGGAGAATTTAGGTTTTTATTAGTACCATAGTACCATTTATACAAATTAGAAAATGTTATTTAACAGCTGTTGAATTATCTATACATACCTTTATTAATCACTATTGTTCCAGCAGTTTTCAAGTCAAATTAATCATCTTATTAGGGAGAAAATTCAATTGTAAATTGAATCAGTATAAACAAAGTTACTAGGTAACTTCATATTGCTCTGAGAGAAATATGGAACTTACACTGTTCAATTAGAATAGTGTTCTGCAAAAATATTTATAAAACCTCTCAAGATACTTACTGCTACTGTAATTTTATATGAAGATGTGTATTTTTCAATAAAGCATTTATAAATTAGCCTTTGTTTGGTTATATTGAGAAAAGGGTAGTTTCCTGCATAAATGGCAAAGAACAATCATTTATTGGTTTATTTTGTCTCTACTAAACACATTAGTCATTCATCATTTAAATACCGGACTTCATTAGAAACCGTTTTAACACTTTTTCTCCCTCCTGCCATAAAAATACAGTAAGTAATTTGCTTAAAAAAACAACACAACACTAGGAACAAGTGTTCTGGTTTCTCTCCCCCAACTAAAGACATTTCTCAGTGATTTCAGTTTGTAAATCAGTAAGACAGTGCAGGCTACAAATCAGTGCAGGCTGAAGACTGAGATTCAAATGATCTTCCACTTAAAAGTGCTGAGCTATGGAACCTGCTCTCTCTATACCTCTCCATTTCCTAACATATATACAACTGAAACCACTGATTTAAAAACTATTAAGTAGTGCTGAATTCTGTCTGCTCTATTAGTTTAAATGAATGCAACTTACCTTTAGCATTATATTCAGAAAAATACTTAAGCCTCAAGGTCCCCAATAATTTGGAGTACTGAACTAGATAACCACCCTAAGACACTTCTGACAGAAGTAATGCATTACTTAGAGACAGGTTTCCAAACCCTGCTGTTAGAACCTATGCATACATGGAAAACACTGGCAGTCAGTCATTGTTCACACAGTTTTACTCTTCAGGCAGTCCTCTGCCATTGGTCAGCTTGAACTAGGCCAGAGTCCAGCAGGAAAGTGCATGGTGCACCAGATTCACCATCTCTTAAGTCGCCACTGTTTTCTCTTCTTTACTGAAAGGCTGTACTGAGCCAGGCTTTACCCATGACAGGCCAGCAACATGAACACTTTTATTGTGCTGTTCTTCAGGCTTCTTCTAGGCACAATCAAAACAGATATTAAAAAAAACTACTGATGAGGAGACTTCAGCACTGTACAAACTTGTTTCCCAAAAAAGTTACTTGTATGTAATGAGCAGTCTCCAAATGAAGACATTTAGAAAAGAAACAACGAGTTGGCCATTTCATAAGTAGTTATCCACTTACTTTCTGAGTCAGCATCTTTTCTCTGGCTTCATCATGTACAGAAGGATTCCATGGAGAAAAGCTTAAGGAAGAGAAAAGTATTTAAAAACTGTTTGTTGGCTCACTAAATTTCTATAACATTCATTTTGCAGTAATTAAGTTTCAAGCCAATTCCCCTAACTTAATAAAGAAGGGTGCTTTTTTTTGTTTTCGACAAGTATGTTTTAGACATTATCTAATTAATTTTCTCACATAACTATCCTTCATACATGAATGATCTCATTTAAGCCTCACACCAACCCCTGAGTACTATTATTTAAAGATTAAGAAAGCAAAGCAAAATTAATTGCTCTGGATTACCAGAGCTAAAAAGTACAAAAGCGAAGTAGTCCATCTGCTGAGTCCATGCTCTTTTTTTTGAGACTGAGTCTAGTTCTGTCACCCAGGCTGGAATGCAGTGGTGTGATCTCCGCTCACTGCAACCTCCGCCTCCTAGATTCAAGCCCTTCTCCTGCTTCAGCCTCACTGGGACTACAGGTGCGAGTCACCATGCCTGGCTATTTTTTTTTTTTTTACTTTGAGATGGAGTTTCACTCTTCTTGCCCAGGCTGGAGTGCAACGGCAAGATCTTGGCTCACTGCAACCTCTGCCTCCCAAGTTCAAGCGATTCTCCTGCCTCAGCCTTCCAAAGTAGCTGGGATTACAGGCATGCGCCACCACACCCAGCTAATTTTGTATTTTTAATAGAGACGGGGTTTCTCCATGTTGGTCAGGCTGATCTCAAACTCCCGACCTCAGGTGATCCCCCCCACCTTGGCCTCCTAAAGTGCTGGGATTACAAGTGTGAGCCACTGTGCCCGACCAATTTTTGTATTTTTAGTAGAGATGGGGTTTGGCCATTTGGTCAGGCTGGTCTTAAACTCCTGACCTCGTGATCCACCCACCTTGACTTCCTAAAGTGCTGGGATTACTGGCATAAGCCACCACGCCTCGCCATGAGTCCAAGCTCTTAACAGCTATACTCCACTGCCTTCCCAAGCAGTACCAATGTTGCCAAAGAGCAAAATCACCAATTCGTCCATTCCCAATACTCCTCCAGACACTGTTCCTTAAATCAAATGTCATAGTGCTTCAGGAACCCACCATTCTCACGCTATTCAGTTTCCCTCCTTTTACCACATCTGAATGTCAATGAGGGTGTGGCAGTTTAAGAGGGGCTCCAGCTAAAACTGCAAGCTGAAAAGAGTCCTGACATGTGAATGAATAAATACGTCATAAGATCCCTGGGAAACCAAAGTCACCAGAGAATGTGCTGTCAGCACAGCCTGTCAGATGTAAAGGTTTTTGTTTAAGAGCCTCAGAGGCATCAGAATTCGAGTTGGCACCAAGTTATAAAGGTTATAGGCTAACAGCTTATGCATGTGCCTTTTTAAATCCCTATTCGGAGACCACCTGGAGAAAGGAAGCAGTGTATTGGAAAGGACAGCAGACAATTCATTTGGGAGATGCACCACTTACCTAATTGCATAGGGGTCTTCTATTTTAGGTTGGTCAAACAAACGAGCAGTGCACACCTTAACACTGTCAACAACTTTACTTTTAAAAAGCTGAATATCTTTTTCATACCTGTGTTAAAAGTTTAAGTCAAAAAGTTACTTAATCTACTTAGCTGCATCTTCAAATTTATTTTAAATAACAAAGCAAAAGTTACATACAGTACTGCAGCCTCTGGGTTCAGGGGGCTTGCTGTATCAATCTTGTAGAAAACTCTCCTTGCATACATTAATACCTGCCAAATATGATTATGGTTCCGCCTAAAGGGAAACATGGCATGATTACTGAGGCGTCCTTTTGCAGTATTATGTCACTAAAACAAACCCTAAAACAAACCCTTTACTTACTTACCTCCATTTTGCAAATGCTCTCTTCACATCCAGCTCACCTGAGGTGGGATCAACTAGCGGGTGAAAAACGGGAATATCGAACACCAAGCGCTGTATTTAAATAAAAAGAGACGTGTCCTTTAATGGAAGCAGTGGCACTTACGAGACCCATAGGAATCGTGATAAAAAGAGCTTCAGGACAAGGCAGTCACGTTATTTAAAGCTAAAGAGCTGCCTCAAGAGGGATACTTAACTACTTTTACCATTTTCCTGAAAAACTAAATTTTGAGATGAAGCGGGGAAAACTCCCTCTCCACTACAGCCTGAGGGCCACCATTCACCTGGTGAGTGCTACAGGATGGCAGGCAGCCAGCCTCCCTTGCAGACCCTGAGCAGAGAAACAAAGCTCTGATGGCATGCCGGAAGCTGCCGCAAAGCACAGAAGTCCCCCTGGACAACTACTGGGTAGATATATCATAAAGGTACCAGGTCAGGAAAAGAACTAGGAAAGCTGTAAGCCCTTTTAGCCCTTCTCGCTGATCCACAAATGAAGCCAGACTGTGTCTCCAACTTACCGGACAGTCACCATCTGGATAGTTATCAGGGATGTAAACTGTAAACTTAAATACGCCATCTTGGTAAAGTCCATGCCGTATGAATATTACTCCAAACCACACTGTAGGAAAAAATAAAAGAGTTAAGGCCTAAATTTGTGTGGGAGGAACTAAATGTGCCCATAAATTAAGAATGAATCCTCATCTTACTTAATGCAGAGCGATAAGATGGCTGCACATAGACGCCTGGTAGCTTCTGCTTCACAACCAAGGTACTACAACAAAAGCAGAGTAATTAATTTGTGTGGATACAAATGACACATGAAGATGAAACCACCCCACATTCACTTAGAGACAATGAATGGCCCCTCAAGGGGCAGCTGATGCCCAAACCCTGCAAGCCAAGTTCTCACAATCTCTCACCTGACACGATCAGAGCCCTGGCCCTGACCGCTGCCCACTACCAGCTTCATAGCAGCAGCTCACAGAGAAACAAGCAGGCCAGCAGGGGCCCCACAGTAAGAACTAAAGCCAAACAGGGAAAAATGAAGAATCAAGTTTCCTCCCAGAAATCCGCTCTTCCAAAACATCATCTTGGAAACCAGCCTATAGGTAATTCCAAATAATGCAACCCGAGGTAAGTTATGTACAGTTGAGGTCAATGAGAGTATCTGTAAAATTATGCTTTTGTGACTGTGGATGATCATTCAAAAACTTTTAAAATACAATGTTAGATAAATTAAGATTTCTTGGAATTGGGTCACAAAGTTGTCATTTTACATTTTAATCACAAGATCCCACAGCAGAGGGCAATGTTCAGACTCGCAGTGCTGCCTGGGGAGGGCAGGCATCCTTGTGTGGCTCTCACACGCCCTGCTCTAAAACGGACCCCCTGATGCAGACACCTGAACTCCGTGGGCCTTGCCAGAAAACGGGAAACTAGGTGCTGAAAACAAGAAACAACAAGTGCACTGACACAAAACCTACACTGGTTCTTCCAGGACCCAGTTACCCACCCACAGCCATTCTGGTCACTAACCTGCCAATCCTGGATTTTATGAAGAACTAGTTTATCAGGCCTTAAGTTTATCATCTTTATTACCTACTTTCCATTCACTTATTTTTAATCATTTTTATTATCTAGTTCATTTTTAAGTTGCTAAAATTTAGCATGTCAATAGCAACATGGCTGGCAGATGTCTCTACTACAGTGAAGTTTGCCAGAAAAGGCAGTTCTGTGTTCTAATACAGATTTAATCACCACAATAGAGGCCTGTCCAACTCGCTGCCCAGCCTCAAACACAAGGCCTCCATTATAGAGCCAAAGGGGCCATTACTACCAAATCACACCCAGCCAATTACACTGGGGCCTCAGACCCTCTGACCATTACAACATTAATACACTGAGGGAAGGGACAAAGATGCCTTTTTTTAAAAAATTTTTTTTGGTTTAAAAAAAAAAAAAAGTGCAGCACACCAACATGGCACAAGTATACATATGTAACAAACCTGCACGTTATGCACATGTACCCTACAACTTAAAGTACAATAATAATAAATTAATTAAAAAAAAAAAAAAAAAAAAAAGATGAGGTCTCATAGGCTGAGTGTGGTGGCTCACACCTGTAATCTCAGCCCTTTGGGAGGCCGAGACAGGCAGATCATTTAAGGTCAGGAGTTTGGGACCAACCTGGCCAACATGGTGAAACCCAGTCTATACTAAAAATACAAAAATTAGCGGGGTGTGGTGGCGTGCACCTGTAGTCCCAGCTACTCCAGAGGCTGAAGCAGGAGAATCACTTGCGCCCAGGAGGCGGAGGCTACAGTAAGCTGAGGTTCTGCCACTGCACCCCAGCCTGGGTGACACAGTGAGATTCCATTTCAAAAAGAAAAAAAGATGAGGTCTCACTATATGGCCTATGCTTGTCTCACATTCCAGAGCTCAAGTGATTCTCCCACCTCAGCCTCCTGAGTAGCTGGGACTATAGGTCCACAGCTGGGAAATTTTTAATTGTTTTTTAGAGACAGGGTGGTCACTCTGTTGCCCAGGCTGGTCTTGAACTCCTGGGCTCCAGTGATCCTCCTGCGTCAGTCTCCCAAGTAGCTGGGATTACAGGCATAAGCCACTGTGCCTGACTGAAGGATGCTTTTAAAATAACTGTATACAAAGGAATTTTTAAATTATGGAAATTAAGAATTATCCACACTTTCTATCCTTTTAACAAATTCTCGAATGAAATGCCATCTGCGTCTGTGCAGTGCTGGAGCGCCCGTGTGTGCCAGGCACTACAGGGTCGCTGCCAGCACTCTGCACCCTGCTTGGCTTCTTGCACTCCACAACCAGGCGCAACTGCAGCCCAGTTGCAGACCTCGGTGACCAGTCAGCGTCTTCCTTACATGGAGCCCACATCTTTGTCTCTTCCCTAGAATTGCCAAGTCCTGCCTTTGGGAGTCATATAGAATAAGTCAGATCCTTCCTTGTGACAGACCTTCAAATATATTAAGACAACTTTAATACATGCTTAAACTTTCTCTTCTCCAAGAAAAATTCTCCAGTTCCTCCAACTGTTGATCCCTAAGGTCTGGTTTCCTGGTCCCTCCCTGCTAGGCCTTGTCCTCCATCTGTCAGGAGGCTGACTACAAGGCGACAACCAAATGCAGCACCACCTTCCAGATACGCCTGACCAAGAAGGCAGAGACGGCCACTCTCCCACTGTCCTGCTCTCCAGAAAAATCTCTCCAGGAGGCAGGTTCCTCACTTCACATAAACCAAGACCGCATTTATTAAGCTCCTAATCTACTGTAGGTTCTTTTTTTTGAGATGGAGTCTCGCTTTGTCGCCCAGGCTGGACTGCAGTGAAATCTTGGCTCACTGCAACCTCCACCTCCCGACTTCAAGCGATTCTCTGCCTCAGCTTCCTGAGTAGCTGGGATTAACAGGTGCCCGCCACCACACCTGGCTAATTTTTCTATTTTTAGTAGAGACGGAGTTTCACCATCTTGGCCAAGCTGGTCTTGAACTCCTGACCTCGTGATCCACCTGCCTCAGCCTCCCAAAGTGCTGGGATTATAGGCATGAGCCACCGTGCCCGGCCAATCTACTGTAGGTTCTTAATAAACCTTAGTTTCTTCCTTTTTTTACTCTCCAACACAGACATGGAAATTAAAGTATCCTCTGCCTTTAAATCGTATTCACCCGAGCTCTAAAGAATCTTTAAGAGAGGCTACTTTTATAACTCTACCTAGGTCTTGGTTAAAAAAGATTTTATCACTAGCAATAGCCTATAGTTTTATATTTATTCAGTCTGATACTGGAAAGGGACAGGTTTGAGCTTTGAGATTAAATGTCTGCCCTTTACTGCGTCCATCAGAATACATTTCATTCTTCACTTTAAAGGATCGTTCCTAATTTAACCAAATAGTTTGTTAAGAACTTACAATTCTGCAAGAAGAGAGTATTCCAGGTAGAAGGGTCCATAGGACGCATGCGTGCCATTTGTTGACTGTGCTGCTGGGGCAGGAGACGTAGGCTTAGTTATGGGCAAAGCATTTTTGGGAATAGAAGGCAGCTGTTTCTTTGGTGCAGTTCGTGGAGGACTGGTTTTCACGTCCCCTGTTAATGTCTTCTCTTCACCTTCAGATCGCTATACAAGATGAAGTTGTAAGAATATCTGTTAGGATGATTCTTAAATCACAAGAGTACATTATTAGCTCCATGGCCTAAATGCTGGAATTGCTCCTTTACAAGCACATTCTAACACCATGACCAAAATGACTAGAAAGTCCTTTGGGCAGGCAGGTCATATAAAGAGAAGACAAAGCTGAAGCAAGACCAAAGCATTAGAGAAACTCTTTCATATAGGGAAACTCATCCTATAAGGATGATACAATCAGTGTGTACAGGATTAACTGAAACACACAAAGAAATGGTTTTTCCTAGTGGCCCCAAAAAGAGGGCAAGGGGTTTCTAAGCAATTAGACAACTGTACAAGGCTAGAAAAGTCCCCCAGCACTTAGATGCTACAGAAGGTTAGGTGCTAAGCAGCTCAAAATAGTGTGGATGAAATTAGTCACTGCCTGTTAGCACTTGGGTTAGAAACAAAGAGTGAAGCTATTCTCTCACTTACTTGGGTCTGATTTTGATTTGTCCCTACTGGGTGTTTTGACATTTCAAATATCACCAGCATAAACCGTCATCCTTCATCAAAGACTAGGTCGACATGAATCAGAGACTCAACTACCATCTCATAGGTACTTCCTTGGCACAAGTACAACCAAAGGCTGTTTAATTAGCTATATAAAAACATGTATATCATATGCATTGCTCTAGTGATGGGTGCATCTAAAGGCCCTGACTTCAGCACAATACAATATGCCAATGTAGCAAAACTGCACTTGTACCTCATTACTATGTACAAGGAAGGAAGAGATGTATGTCGTGTACATAGAAAAAAAGTAATAGTGGTGGTTGTTCTCCTAAAGGTGGGATTATGGTTTTTCCTTTTTTTTTTTTTTTGAGATGGAGTCTCACTCTGTCGCCCAGGCTGGAGTGCAGTGGCGCGATCTCAGCTCACTGCAAGTTCTGCCTCCCAAGTTGACGCCATTCTCCTGCCTCAGCCTCCCAAGTAGCTGGGACTACAGGCGCCCACCACCACACCTGGTTAATTTTTTTGTATTTTTAGTAGAGACTGGGCTTCACCGTGTTAGGCAGGATGGTCTCAATCTCCTGACCTCGTGATCTGCCCGCCTCAGCCTCCCAAAGTGCTGGGGATTACAGGCGTGAGCCACGGCACCCAACCGGTTTTTATTTTCTTATTTGCCTATTTTAATCTTTCCTAAAATGAAAAAATATTTTTTAAAAAATCATTTTATTTAGAAAAATTAAATTAGTGCCCGTCAAGTCTGACTTAATGATATCAGACTAGCCTTTCCCACAGCTGTTCTAACTGTAGAACCTTGTAGTAGAAAACTACAATATGTCACAAATTTCATCATGTGTAAATATAACCTCAATCATCTTAGAATTGTGATGACCAGAACGATTTCTATTTGCGATGCAATCCCAGTCTCAGAAACACACTTTAACCAACAAAATAATTACTTCTCAAGAGTGTAAGACCTTAACTAGAAAAATTAGGTAATTTTGTCAAGATTACAGGTGACCGTGACAGATTATTTTAGCCTTCATTCTGATCCTGTTTTCAGACACAGAAGCAAATGGGTTTCCTTACTGAATTTATCACTATACCTACTTTGCGTACAGAGCTTGTAGACATGCTCCAGAAAGGGTTCATAACGTGTATTCCAAACAAAGAAATTCAGTGGCGTGTCATCCAAATCTTCTGTCTTCAGCATTCACTTTACCTTAAAACAAGATGGGGAAACATAGAAACAAGCCAACACCAACAATTAAGAGTTTTTTTGTTTTTTTTTTTAGATGGAGTCTCGCTGTGTTGCCCAGGCTGGAGTGCAGTGGTGTGATCGTAGCTCACTGCAACCTCCAACTCCTGAGTTCAAGTGATTCTCCTGCCTCAGCCTCCTGAGTAGCTGGGATTACAGGTGCCTGCCACTATGCCCAGCTAAGTTTTGTATTTTTAGTAGAGACAGGGTTTCACCATGTTAGCCAGGCTGGTCTTGAATTCCTTACCTCAAGTGATCCACCCACCTCAGCCTCCCAAAGTGCTGGGATTACAGGTGTGAGCCACCACGCCCAGCCAACTGTTAAGACTTCTGAAATAATGAATAACTAATTATGATACCCTGGATATACAATATGTTATATAACAAAGGGTTGTAAAAACCTAGGAAAGGGTCTTCAGGCATCTTCAGAAATAGTTTCCTTCTATACCCACTTCCTTTTCTGGTTCTAATTTCTTTCACACTTTTAGATGTCTATAAGAATCTGTGCACCAGGTCCCTTGGCCAGGATTCAGATTACTCAGTGACACAGATGAGCCTTGGTGCCAGAAGTTCAGAAGATACGGACAACAGTTGCTACTAGCACATCTCGGCATTTAACTAACAGGAAAGCCAGATTCAGAATGCACTGTACCCACATACACAAAAGTTGTATCACTGTTCCCAGGGTTATGGGAACAAACAATAAAGATACAAGGAGGCTGATTTAAGAGCTGCCCCAACTCACTTGAGTACAAAATGATTCCTCCAGCAAATATTAGTCAAAGAAATAAGAGAAAACAGGGAAGGCAGAGCACACGTATGTCACTAAGACGACAGAAGAAGTTACCTGAGTCCTGTCAGTACCATCCCCCAATAAACTGCCTTCTACAACTTCGAAACATACAGAAACTGCAGGATCATGTACTTAAGGAACTGCCAAGCAATCCAGACAAATACAACATGAGGCACGCAAGAGCGACGGCAAGAGAGACGTTTCACAAGTACAGATCTTCTAGCCGAAGCTTCAAGTCGTGGATAAGAAAGCATGTATCAAAGCTCATAAAGTCAGTGGGTCATTTACTAAAAATACAAAGAAGCAAAGGAAAAGCAACCAAGCCCAGCTGTAAGAACAGCAACTTCTTTGCCCTGGTGATTTTCCCCCAGGCTCTGTCACCTTTAAAGCAGAGCTCCTTCTCTGAATTCCTACTTGCACCAGTCAAAAGGCTGAAGGTGAAAAGGGTCAAAACTAAGCAACGTTTTCCTAATTTCTTAAGCAGGTCATGAGCAAACTATGTACTAACTGTCCCCAGTCAGCAATAATTTGTCTTTTCTGACGAGCTTGTGACATCCAGGGACGTACTCAACCCAGGTCATCCATACCTTGCCAGTGCCTATTATTGCTGTTTTCTTTTCCAAGAGAAAATGCCACCCAGTAATTAAATCAGAGGAATGAAGATCCTGGTTCTTCTACTAGCATGGATAATATCCAATAAGTAAAAACAGCTCTCCGCAAATCTGCCTTTAAAGGTGAGTATGACACAGTGAATACACTTGGGATATCAATAATGTGCGGGGGAATGTTCCCGTTTGGCTCAAATGAAGACACTGATTTTCAGATCTAGTAGTAATGTGCAGCACCCCAGTGTCCTCTAGGACACACCTAACACGGGACCCTATCCCTTGGGACACAGTGGTGCACTCCACCACATACATTTAATGGGTTGGTGCAAACCTGTAAAGTCTCTTTCAGGTCAAACGCGTTAGGATTCTCTTTAAGAATTCTCCTTTAAGAATCCAATAAATTTTGTCCCCAGTTCTGCCTATCATTAAGCAGGAGATATTGTCTTCTGCTGCTTAACTTTGCCATGGATCTTTTAATCCGATGTTTCCAGCAGCAACATAATCACGAGACAGTGTAGTACACTTTTCAGGGTCTAGTCTAGGACAAGCACAGCATACATGTTCTGAGAAGAATGACATAGATGGAAGCACGACATAGGTTACATCCTTGTCATTGGGAAACAATTTTAGAATTTCTGCCTGTTCAGCCACGGCTGCATTCCTTTGCATCACCCAGCTGAGAAGTCTGGGTCTTCAGCCTGCGCGAATAATAGTGCATGGCAGAGCTAAAACTAGGCTAAAACATGAGTGCTGCTGTTACTCTTCATGCCACAGCGCACTCACATCACCCCGAATCGGACTTAAGAAATTACACGTTAAGAGGAGACAGAGCAGCGGCCAAAAAAAGATGAAAACGGCCCGGGCCAGGCTTGCTGGGGACAGCAGGGACCTGCGGCGGCCTCGGACCGGCACCCTCACCGCGGGCGGAAACCCGTCTCTGAGCACTCAGGGAATCCGGACAAACCTGTCTCGAGGTGATGCAAGGCGGGGGCCCTGTCCTGGCCTCGCAGTTAGCTCGAGGCTGGCCCGGGAGCCGCAGGACCCTCCAGTTGGGGGCTCTGGGGCCCGGCGACGCCCCCTTAACCAGAGCTCGGGATCGGGACCTGGCCGGGGAGGGCGGGCACGGGCTGGGGCGAGCCAGCTGGGCCTGCCTCTCTCCCGCGGGCCGGGCCGGCCCAGCTTGAGCCGCAGTCCCCAGCAGCGGTCCCGGGCTGCGAGGCGGCCAACGCAGCAGGTGCCTGCAAACGCGCACAGGTGCCCGGCCCCGCCTCCGTGTCCCACTGCGGCCGCCGTCGCCGCCGAGTCGCGAGTGCCCAGGATGGACAAATGCCGGGCATGTGGAGGCTGGCGGCCAGATTTACCGACACCTCAGTCCTCGCGTACCTACCAGCCTGCCTGGCAGTGCGCCTCCCCCCGTGCCTTCAATGCAGTGCTCCTGGCTGCCGAGCGCCGTCGCGGCCCGACAGCATCTCCGGCCGCAGCGCCAGCCCTGCCCCTGCTTGATCCCCGCCCCGCCCCACCCTGCCCAGCCCTCCGCACCGGGCTCCGCCCCGTGGTGCACGCTCCTGGGGCCCGAGGCTTCCGCCTTGCCTCCCGGCGCCAACTGGCTCTCACACCTGCCCGTCAAGGACGTTCTTCCGGGGGCGTTGGAAAAACCACGCTCCGTCCTGCAAATCAAATCACCCCAGTTTGGGTGGGGCTGCACTTTACCCTCCCCTTACGTAATAGCGCCTGGGATGGCCTGTCAGTCATGGAAGTATCGGCCCCCGCCCGGGGAGGGATGGGCAGAGACAAACAAGCACCGGGTCACAATTGGCCAGGGCGTCTGCCAGTCACGATGGAGACCCGCCCAGAGGTTTGTACGCTCAGGCCACAGCGCAATCGCCATGCACAGGGTTTGGGGTGTAGGAAGGCGTCCCTGACCCAAGCTTTGTGGGAGGGCCGGGCCGCGAGACTACTCCGTGGCTCCCAGCGCAGGGTCCTACTGCTTTGGGCGGCGCTGCGAGGCCCGAGGCCGCCACGTTGGGCCCACAGGGTTGCTGGGGTCAGAAGGACGCTTGGCGTAGGGCCAAGAAACGCCCGTTCGCTCGATCAGTGCAGGAGCTGAAGGGAGCTCAGCTGTAAGTCGGCGCCGGGCACTGCAGCAACCAGAGGAGCCTTGTAAACCTGTGCTTGTCGCCCCAGCCTGCAGCATCCGAGTGGGGGCCAGGGGCTGGGGGGAGGGGGGAGGCTGAGGACCAGGAATCCACATTTGTCACGGTTCCCTTGCTGATTCTGGCGCACACTAAAGTTGGAGAAGCTCTCCTATGGCAACGTAGTTCCTGGTCATTCTTTTTTTTTTTTGTTTTTTTTTTTTTTTTAACTCACATGCTTTCACTTGGATCTCCTGTCTCCTTTCCCATAGAGGTCTCTCTCTGGCCTGATTCTGTGATCGCTGCCAGCGGCTTTCCAGGCCTCTTCTTACCAACGGTACCTACCCGTGGTTAGTCCCTCCAATCTCGGCACTCCACTTCCACACTTGGGCGACAGCCCTCTCCCCGCAAGCCGCTGCCCCTTCTCTAGACACCAGAGGCACTGACCTGTCTGTGACACCGCCTCAGTGTCTTACACTCATAAGAGAAGACACATTCTCTGGCTGGGTTGTTTGGTCCATTTTTGGTTGCCTCCGAGATCCGGGTAAGTGACTTATTGAAGGGCAGGAAGCCAGATTCTCCTGATGTTAATCCCAGGGGTCGGTTCTGAAACCCAGCTTCCTCCCCCAGCTGAAAACACTTCTTAGCCACTTCCTTTTGTCCACTTAGGACACATTTAGGAATGTTACAATGCCTTTTAATACGAGTCTTAATACAGAAAGGCAGGCGAGCAGGAAATCCTTTTTTAGGCCACAGGTGGTGTTTGGCACCTCTGTGGCCCATTTCCTCCCAATCTTCTTTGAAGCTCATTATCCTCTTCAAAGCTTTTTTTCTGCTTTCATCCTTTCCCCAACCTTCAGTTTTCACCGAGGACCCACATAGGTATTTCTCCAGCTCACATCTATCCACTGAGCTTCCAGTGCATGTCGTCAACTGCCCACTTGGCACCGGATGCCTCAGACACACACTAGCATCAGACTGCACATGGCAGAAAAGTCAACTCAAACCGGCTTACTTAGCAAGGGGATTTCTCTCGCATGGGAGGCTTGTCTCCAGAGGTGGTGCCCTGGTCTTCAGGCTCTGCTTTCCTTGCAGTCCCTGGAATTGTACTTTCAGGCTGGTAGCAAGATGGCTGTAGCACTCCAAGCACACCCAGGATCTCACAAAATTAAAAGTATCCCTTTCTTCCAGTGGTCCCTTTTGAAATACATGAATACTTTTCCCAGAAGCTCCGCAGAAGAAATGCCCGCAGGTTTCAATGGCCAGAAATAAGTCTCTGGCCACAACGACACCAGTCAACGGCAAGTGGAGTGAGTCCGCCATGATCGGCTTGGGCCGATCTTGAGATTTTCCCTAGATCTCTACCTGGACTTGAGGCAGAGGAGATCCATGATCAGATTTGTATTTTGAAAACATCACTTTGTGTGGAAAACAGATTGTAGAGGCAATTGAGAGGGTCACGGAGCAGTTGAGAAACATGGCAGTAGTTCAGGCAACAGCCAATCGCATGAATTTGAAGGTAGAGATGGAGAATTGAAGGAGTCCCAGAGATGTTTAACATAGGATGATATCGTTTACATATGGTTTGACCCTTCCAAGCCTCATGTTGAAATGTGACCCCCGATGTTGAGTGAGGCCTGTGGGAGTATTTGGGTCATGGGGGCTGATCCTTCATGAAAGGCTTGGTGCTGTCCTGGCAGTAGTGAGTTCTATTAGTTCCCGAGAGAACTGATTGTTAAAAGAACCTGTCACCTTCTCCTCCCCCGACCCCTTCCTTTCTCTCTTGCCAAATGATTCCTGCTGGCCTCTCCTCTGCCATGAGTGGAAGCTTCCTGAGGTCCTCACCAGAAGATGCTGGTGCCATGCTTCTTATACTAATGTACTTAGCTGCTTCTGTCTTTCATTTGACATATGTGTATTGCATACTTATGACATCTAGGCTTTGAATGCTGGGGAGGCAATGGAGAACAAAACAGACATTGTTCCTCCTCATCGAGCTATGGGAGATAGATGCCAGTCAAGTCATCTCCCAAATCAATGGCTAATTGCCTCAAGGAAGTGGGCAATGAGCCAAATAAACCTCTTTTTAAAAATAAATGACCCAGCCTCAGGTATTCCTTTATAGCAACACTGATGGACTCATACAGGTGGGATGGACAGAGCTTGGCCATGGACTAGGTATGGGGGATGAAAAGGCAGATATGGCTGACACCTAGATTTTTAGCATGAGCTACAGGATGGATGGTGAGGCCATTCACTGAGGTGAGAAACAGTGAACCACACGCAGGTTTGGAACAGTGGGAAATGGGAAAATCTGGGTTCTGTTTTGGGTAGGTATGTTTGGGGTGCTTCTGTAAGCACTGTTGCCTGTGTACCCGATACCCACTTCTGCCTTTTTCATTACTGATGGAACCTCCATTTTGTTGAGGAATTTAAGCCCTTCAGTGGTTCCCCAATGGGCAAAGACAAAACTCCTACCCATGGCTGTGGTCCAGCCCCGGTGGCCACAGACTCCAGCCGCTCTGGCATCTTCCAGTTCCTCGGAAGGGAGATGCTCCCACATCTCCCTACCACAAAAGGGGCCTTTGCAGTGAACGTTCCCTTTGCCTGGTCCATCCTCTTGTCTCCCCTACACAGATCTCAGCTCTAACACCACTTCCTTGGGGGCAATTTGCTGTTGATTTGGGAGATGATTAGTGTCTGTTTCCCACACTGTAAGCTCCCGGGGAGGAACCATTTTTTCACTTTCTATTGTCTCCCTGGCACCCAAAAGCTAGATGTTGTAGGCACGCAATAAATATTTGCCAAATGAAGGACAGAAGCAACTAAAGTACATTTGAAACACCAACCTGCACGCCCACAGCTCTGCACCAAGAAAGCAACTCATTATGAAAATCAGGATGATTTATTCAAAAGGAAATGAGGAGGTGGCCTCAAGGTACCATTTCTTTAAGACTAAAACATAAAGTGCTGAGAAAAATCTCAATGGACCCAAAACCTTACCTATAAAACGTCTTCAGTCGCTTCACATTACATTTACTATTCTAAATTTTTGAAGCATATTTGATATATTTGCATCAAAAGGTTCTCTTTGCATCTGGACTTAATAGATATGTGATCTGAGTATTTGGGACTTCTGCTTATGTTCTAATCAGCAAAATATTCCCTGAATCATACATCTTTCGGACTCTGGAAAAGTAATTGTACAAAGCGTTTAAATCACTGGCTTACTACTAAAGCCCTTCACAGAAAGAAAGGATAAAATGACGAAGGTTAGTTAAAATGCATATGTTTCATACACAGGCACACATATAAGCCAGTGTTTTTAGCTCAATCCATTTGCCCCCAAGTCCTTTTCTGAAAAGTAGATTCCTGTATACATGCGACTGATTACGTCTACTGTTCAAAATATGAGAGGATCTAGCTATGCATATTAATGTCTTAGAAAAAATATAATTAGCACATTAAAGCCACGACTTTATGGGTAATAATGTTTAGGATGAGACCAAAGTAGGCATTTAGTGTTTTTTTTTTTTAAGTAAATGGATTTAAGGGAGGATATCAGATAATTGTCCTGTAGTTAATAATGATCCTCAGACATGACAGAAATCACACATTTTTAAGAATCATTGAAGGTTTAGAAATACTGCTATAGACGGATGATGTGGCTTTTTTCCTTTCCATATCCTCATCGAGCGACATAGTTCTTGCTTGTAAGAACGTCACAAACGTGCTTCCAGGTTTTGGTTGCATCATATTTTCCTCCCTGCCCCATTACCCATAGCTCCCATCCCTGAGTAAGTGGGTGGGTGGGTGGAAGAATGAATTTTACAGAGAGACTACAAAATTTCAAAATGAAATCAGAGTAGCTGATGGACCACTGTGAATATTTATGTCTCAAGGAAAAGCAACCAATATATGATACTGCTGCTCATTCAGGGCTGAAGAGAACTGATTTCCTTTTATAATCAAACAGCATTTTGAACATGGCCTGACACCACAAATAACCCCCACTCCCTCAGCATGCTGATGACTGTACCCACAGTCATAAAAGCAATGTTCTCTTTGATTGGGAAACCACCTCACTCTGTGGTTTCAAAGCATTTGGAATGATGATAAAGGCTTGAGTTAGTTTTATCTAGAGTGGCACACTCAGAAAACCAAAGAAAGAGAAAGCAATACTCATTCAGGGAAGGGGACTATTCCAGGCACAGACACCTCTTCTTTCTTGCAATAGGTAAATGGTGATTCCGTGAAAGATAGGGAAGCTCAGTGATCTTGAGTTACCCACCCAAAGCAAATGACACTGTGACCATCATTTATTCCAATATTTTACTATAAAAA